AAAAGAAAAAAAGAAAAATCCTGAATATAATGGGATTGCGACTTTGCTATTTTTCTATTTTGTTTGTGAATATTTTGACAAAAAAAGAAAAAGAAAAATGATCGTATTTGTGTCTCAATACAAGTTACTTTACTGAATCTCACAGCAGTGTGGCAAGTGGCCAGTAATATTGAAAATAAGAAAGAAAATGAATATCACAATTCAATTATTTTGTTCAACATCTTTGATTTGAGTAGCATAGATTTAAAGAGAGAATGTTAAGTAAGATACCAGGTACATATATAGCGAGATAAGGATTTATGAACAAGTGTTAACAAAATTTCAAAAAGTATAAAAACTTTCACTCACAATGGTGTTGAGTATATTAGTTAGGTAATGTGTATATTTAATTAAGCTAATACTAAAGACTGATATTTCCCAAAAGATTTGCATAAAATCAATGATAATTAAAGTTGTCATGTTGCAAGTTATGTGGTATCTGCAGAGTTCCATATAATATTTCAGTGGGCAATGAAGAGTTTTTCTTGGTATGTTTATTAGTGCAATTCCATATTATAATGAGGTTTAGCTGTGATATTGTTATATCAAGGTGTTATTATCAACAATGAAGGGAATAAACAATGAAAAACAAAACAGTTTATGGTTATTTTATATTTCTGAAATATGCCCATATTGCATTTCTTCCGTGTATTTGTATTGCTATTTGCTATCATAGAATAAAGCTAGTATGTGCCCAAAATGATTATAATTTAAAATTATTTTCTGATGATAACCAAATGTTATCAAATGGGGATACTGAAATTAAGAATTTATGTAAGTTGAGATGTTCACAAATAACGAGAATGTAACTTGAACGGGGTCTCTTGCTATATGACTAATCTCTCTAATCAGATCTCTATGTCAAATTATCAAGCATTTGAAGTAAAAAAAAAACAACAACAAATGACTGGAGAGAAAAAATAGTTCGAATATGGATTCCACCTTTCCATTCAAAATCTGCAAATGAATAATGAGAACATAGGGCTACGGAGACTATGCATTGTGGTAGAGAAGCAAGATAGATTGAAAGCAATGTGACTAGAAAGATGCGCTAGAAAAGCACACGCATACCAACACAATGGGCTTTTAGTACAACAGGAGGAGAACAGAAGGTGATACAGAGACTATTAAATGGAGAGTTTGCCATTTCAGTTCGTCTGTGTAGTGGTTAACGTGCAAGCCCGTTAGGTAGGTATTCATGCGTTCATGGATCCGACCTACCTTTGACATAACCTTACCCCCCCCCCCCCCCCACTAAATCACCCGTATAATTTTATTCCATTTATTTTGGTAGAGGTCGAGGTCATTTCTTTGAGTTTTAACAAGTGTTGGTTAAAGCGACGTGGCATTACACGGTCCCACCCATTCAAACCATGAAAGAAGCAGGAGAAAGGAAAGCCCGACGTACACACAATTTTGACACATATTAATGAGAATAATCCGCCAGAAGTCACAAAAACGGAAAAAAGCTATAAGACGGCGAGTTAGGACAACTACAAAGTAAAAAAATGTTTTAATATCTAATAGTTTAAAAGTTTTATCAGAGTAAAGTTACATTCCTCAAGGAGACTTTAGTTACTAGGAAAGCACGTTCTTGCAGGGCTTATTTTGTTAGGAAGGGACGTTTGGAAAACTATTTTCGAATCAACGCCGGCGGCCCACAAATAGTAGAAGGCGTGCCCTAGCAAATATTATTTATAGAGGTTGCAAACTTTCAGAACGCGTATTACTTGCTGTACCAAAATGTTTATTTTTGTTGTAAATGCCTGATGTATTCGAAATTCTGTGATCATTACACTTACAAATTGCTTTTTTGCATTTTTAAGTTTCGAAGCGGCAAAGTAGAAAAAGAATATAACAGAACATTGCATATATTGCATTTTCAAATGCTAAACTATTTTGATTTATCTTAAATCCTCATTATATACTATCCAAGAACAATTTTCCAGTAAGTATTTGTTTCTGTCTCAGGCGAAAAGCTGGGCATATATAGGCAATTTATTAGAATTAAGCAAGTCCACACGTTCACCCGGTTCTCCATGTTTTTTTTTTTTTTTTTTTTTTTTTTTTTTTTTTGTAGATGGCGTAATATTATTTCCATTTTTTCGTACCTCCAAACAAAGACACCGTCTGCATGTTGGTTGCAGACAGAAAACTGCGGGCAAATAGCTATTCAATGTTGAATTTACAGTGCCACGTCGTCATTCAGGTAGATATTTATCTGTATTTAATCCTTTCTTCTCTTCAAAACTGTTCTCATGGCGCAAAGCGATCCCCATGATGCCGAATGGGGTGTGTTGGCGGCTAATGAAGGCTACGGAAGACCAGATTCAGAGGAAGATTACGAGCAGATAAGCTATGAAGACGCCATGGGAAAGACGTGGGGTAAGAACGAAAAGAAGCCTTACAGACACGCTGCCCACGCCATGATCTACGCCCCAGATGGCAAGATATTATGGGACATGTACGAAAATAAGGCCGTGATATTGGTAAGAGGACTAGATTTGATAAGGACTTTACTGATGCAAATGTACATATACAAGTCACAGTGAATCGAGGAAAAATCAAGTCATGGATTGCGGGGATGGTGAATTGTGGGGGTGTTGGGGGACGGAGGGGGGAGGGAGGGGGAGGGGGGTGTTGCCCAAGCCTTTGTGCAATTTAGAGAGATTGGGTTCTGACATGATAGTGATACCACAGGTACATTTTTATTGGGAATTTCCCAATTTTTTTATTATTTATTTTTGGATATTGTTATATTATCCAGCAAATACACTAGCAATTACTAGACAGTAGTTGTGTCTGTACCAGTACACCTGTCCACAGCACTAAACACCCAAACCCAATGTGAAGGTTCAAATGAGGTCACAGGCATGTTCTTAAAAACATTGAATGTACAGAAGTTTGTATTAAAGTTTCACTATCCTGGAACCACGAATAATATAGAATAATTCATCGTCTGTCCACCACCCCCCCAAAAAAGGACATACAATACTGTCACTAATGTAAAACGTCCAGATGTGGGACCGTTTTACTCATTACTGATTTTGTTCTTTAATTTTTCTCCTATAAGTATCACGTTGTAAAAAATATGATAATTATCTGTGTAAAGCAGTTAATATTTTTGAGCGACATTAGTTGCTTTTCAATGAATATTATAAAAAGGGGGAAATACACCCTACTGACAGTAAAATAAGCATTTAATAAACCATTTTTTATTCATGGTCCGTATATAATATTAGAAATGTCAAACTGTACATGGAATCAGTACATATGTTCCAGTCATCAACATGTAATGTACCTTTTCATATTTATGGAATGAATGTCCCAAACTTATAAAAATTTTGTACGCATGATTCAAGGGTGGGGTCGAAATAGGACATTACGTTTTCGTCTTACTTAATGGATAACGCAATCTAAAGATTCCACGATTCGTGTCAGTTTTACGTAAGGTCGCTCAAAGAAAACTCAAGTCCACATAATGACCAGTTAAACGATTTATTCGTCGACGCCCGGTATCTACATGTTCTAAGTGAAGTCTCCAACTCCTAACTCTTCGAAACCACGACTGCTTCGTACGCCGTCGCTCCCAATCTCCTTCTCTCTTCTTCTTCTTGCGTCTGCTATTCTCTCCCCATCAGATCGCTTACATACTTATTTTTTTATCTATCACATGGATCCTGTGCTGCATTAATGACTTATGATTGTATAGTTAATTTCTTTACATCGGCGTTATACAAAATTGCCGCCACATTACTCAAGAGCTATTGGACCACAACAGAATACATCATGAGACTCATAAAATATCTTTTTGGTCTTTATGTCGGACACGACAAACAGAAAACCCTGCTTTCTATTACACCAAGTACTTGGGCAATATGAAAATTTCTGGCAATTTTTCTGAGAAATATACGTTACGTTACGTAATATTAGCATATTTATAAAAACATTCTTACGTCATCTATAATTTACGATGACTGATTCACTACAAAATATGTCGGAACACAATATAATATAAAAATTGTATGGCACGGAACATATGTTACCAGTGAAAAGCTATGGGTTCCTTGTCCCTTATTTAGTCAGGTTTGATAATATACCCATGTTTTAAGGAAAAAAAAACCTGATGGAAATACGGAATTTTATATTTTTGGTGTCTAATTTGCATAATTTATACTAATTATGCTAATTTATGCATCGATAGAGCGTGTCTCTATTGAAAAAAATTCTTTTGGCCCGAGGAACATTCATGCTAAGTTAGACATTTGTACTACAAAATGCAGCGTTTGGCTAATATATGCTCATTAACAAGCCTACTATGCGTACAAAAGAAAAACTAGCTCCTTTTTGAGATATGGCGTAGTTCTTTCTGACGTCTGCTCGAGTTAAAGGTAAAATGTGCTGTTATTTACAAATGATCACCTCACGGATATAAATTGTTATAAACGATGCTTTTTTATTCCAGATACCGTATCTAGCATGATTAATAGTTCATAAAATACAAATCACGGTGAAAATATCCATATTTTATACCATTTATTCAAATTTAAACCATGCACCCCCTCAAATCCAGTGTTTCACTGTGATTTCAACAGAGGAAAAGAAATGTCCGTAATATTTAAAAGACACCACCAAATTTCACAAAACTTATATACAATTAGCATTAGTACGTGCTCGTTAAAGGTCACGTTTCTAATAGCATGTATTGTTATGTCCCTTTACATATACATATGAGATGAATGTCCCAAACTTATATAATTTAGAACGCTTAATTCAAGCGTGGGCTCGAAATAGGACATTACGTTTTAGACTTACTCAGTGGATAACGCAATTCAAAATTCCACGGTTCGTGTCAGATTTACGTAAGGTAGCGCAAAGAAAACCCAAGTCCACATAATGACCAGTTTAATGGTTTATTGGTTGACGATCTCTAACTACATGTTCTATACGTGAAACCTCCAACTTCTAAGCCGTCTCCCATAGCTCCGTCGAGCGGTCACCTTCGAGTCTTCTTCAGTCTGCCCCCCAATATTATTTCTAGACGTCTTTGATACGCATTTCTTATCTATAGGTGGATTCTGTGCTGCAGTATTTGGCGGTACATACTAATTTTAATTATTCAAATTGCACACGTCCACTTAAGTTACACGACTACAGGTAAGGCCATAAAACGAGTCGAGTGCACAAGCAATCGACTCTAATCAAATTAATTTACATGTCTGGGAATTATATTTGTGAACACTACAGTATGTCGACCGTGCACTGCAATTATCTACCCTTAAACAAGGGTACGGTAACAGTTCTGTTTTGTGGGATATTGGCCCATTCTTCCTAAAAAGCTTAGCGGATTTGGTACAGATTATTTGGGGATTGGTACTTCTCTGCATTTCACTCACCAATTCATGCCACAGGTAGGCTACTCAGTAGGGAGTCTATTCAAGCTCAAAGATGACTGTTCCATCCTTAGAACATTCTGTTTCTACAACAAATCACTCCCCAGACGAATGCTGTGAGCAAGTGCGTTGACACGATGAAGCCAGTAGCATCCTGAAGTCCCCTCTTGGAAATTGAGTGTGATATCTGTTGAGAACGTTACAGTAGCATGCCCCAGTGACGTTCTGTTCCAGAGGGGACAATGTACTAATACCATGGGCTTGGAATGCTCTCCAAATGCGGACTGATCTGACACGTCAGGCTATATTTTCCTGCACCAACCCTTCCAAGAAGTATTTTGCAGTATGTCTACAGACCTTCATTTGGCCATCGATGGGGTACAAGAAATACTTTGATTATTCAGCAAAACCAGATTCCTTCCAGTGATGGTAGACCAGGTTCGGGTACCACTGGGGTTACAGAATGTAATATTCTCAGCTGATATCTCGCTAATTTGCAAGAGCTGCCTTCGGGGTTAATTCCAGGTTTCATCATGACAGCACACTTGCTCACAATTCTCGTCTAGAAGGTCTCCCTGCCTCCACACCCGCCATTAAACGGATTAAATCTCGGCTCCTGGGTTTAATTGCTAGGCACCTGCAGCGACGTCGCGTGTTGAGGCGGGGAGACCATCGGGAATCAGCAGCATCTCTTTTGAAGCGTGGTCGGCCATATTTAATCGGCGGATCAGTTAGTACTCGGATCATCTATTCTCACTGGGGCCTTAAATGGCTACTGATAAGGACCGTATAGAGACCCTTGAACTCTAAAGTGAGATCCGTTTGTTACAGCGTAAAATTGATCACTCAATGAATAGACTTAAAAACGCAATTTTGTGAGGTACTCGTGAAAGTTACACTAACTTTATATACATGGAACAAAAATTGTTTTTTTTTTAAATTTCCCAAAAGTGCCCAAATCCACAAGACAATTTAGACCTTTCAGAGAGGAAGTTGGTATAGCTCATTTTGAACGAATTCTCTGCTGTATTGGAAAGCCTATAGGTGTGCTGGAAAAGACTTCAAGTCTTCGTTTAAAGAAGCCGTAGGTTTGATGTTTCTAGGATCTGTATGCCTTTTCATACAAACGATTAAGACGTTTAATACATAGATACTGTTGTGTAAAAGGTAATTACTTTTGATTCTGGGTTACCTTTAAACAACAATATATTATACGAAAAAAAAACTAAAAATATTTTACCAATATTTGTTAAACTCGTCTTTCGTATCTTTTCTTGGGAGGGGAACATACATTACATCATGAAGGACGCAAGACATAGTATTGTAACCAATACGTTCAAAATTTGAAAGTGTCAATAAATTTTAAATTCGCGATGAATATGACCAGTGGTAGATATCTTTTTAGAAACAAAGATTTCAACTTTCTATACAATCAATGTTTTGTTTCATTTACCTGTAGTAAAGTAAGTTTTGGATGTGTAAAAAAAAAATCATTAAAGCATCTCTCACACACACCTTTCTCTCCAGATGACGATGAGATTTGACGGATACATCGGATTTCCGGGTGGAATCATGGATGACGGTGAGACGTTGGAGTTTTGGTTAAACCGTGAACTTGAAGAAGAGATAGGGCTAGATCTCACCAGGCACAGCTTTACTAAAGAGGACCATGTTTTATCACACGTCATCCACAAAAAGAAACTGCTGCTGCATTTTTATTGCAAGAGAGTAACGCTAGAGGAGTGTTTGGAGATCGAGAAAAGAACCATCGACGCAGATGAGTATGGATTTGAGGTATGGTTGCCAAACTGCTATCCAGTGTGTGTGTGTGTGTGTGTGTGTGTGTGTGTGTGTGTGTGTGTGTGAGAGAGAGAGAGAGAGAGAGAGAGAGAGAGAGAGAGAGAGAGAGATGAGTGTGTGTGAAGGTGAATGTGCCTGTGTTTGAAATATGTCTGTGGGTGGATTTTTATCAGTATGTATTTATTTACGGATATGATGAATATCATAAGATGTAGACACCTGTGGATGTCCGGTTGTGTGGGTGTTTGTGGCTGCAGGTGTTTCAGAAGACGTGTTCACATGACTGTGTGAGATGCCAGGCCTGTAGCCAGCAATTTCAGAGGGGGGGGGGGGTCGTTTTCTGAAAAAGTGGACCTTTTACCATAAAATTCTCAAGTACATAGATCAAATTTTACCCAGAGTGGACCTTTTCCCAGCAAAAAGGGTGGTTCTTTCGAACCCCCCGACCCCCCCTGGCTACGGGCCTGGATGCATACAGGGTACCTGTATGAAACATGTGTCAAGCATGTGATTAAGATGTAGAAAATAAAACATTTATTGATGTACCTAATGATTTTTTGAACTTCAGGTTGTAATTTTTTATGTTTGGCCTACGATAATTATGTATTTGTATTAATTTGCATATTATATTATTTTTTCGTATATTAATTTTTGATAATTATGTGATATTCTTCAATGTTACTAAGCAAAAACCGACGTATTTATTTTTTCAGGTGTTAGGTCCTATACGGGTGCCTATGTTCACATTTAAAGATAATGAAAGAGGCCTTCCAATATTCCTTAGCAACAAATTCATAGGCAATGCCAAGGAAGATCTGCTGTACTGCATTGAAAGGGAGAACATCATGACGAAAGAAGAAATTCAGCTGGCACTTGAAAACTGCGAGAAATTTAAGGCAAGATATGTGAGATAAGTTAAGCAGTATTCCTTAGCAAACATGCTCCATATTTATTTTATTTAAGGGAAGGTTTTACTAAGGCAGCATAATGAATAAAGGATATAATTACACTTGCTTGTTGCGTATCTTAAATATAATGATATATAGCAAAATCGTCATTTCACAACCCTGCCTTCCATATATATGCTAGTCTAGACTAGTAATTGTGAATAAATATCTTACATCCTGCGTATAACATGTAGACATTCCCAATTTATTCACATTTACTAGATATCCATACCAAAACCAAGTTTTCCTTTGTGACATCAAGGTCATATTGGTAAAATGGCATGACACCTGCATTGCTACTTGCTATCATAAAATAAAGCTAGTATGTACCCAAAATGATTATAATTAATTATTTTCTGATGATAACCATATGTTATCAAATGGGGACACTGGAGTTAAGAATTTATTTAAGTTGCGATGTTCACATATAACGACAGTGTTACTGTTGCAGGGGGTCTCTTGCTACATGATTAATCTCTCTAATAAGATCTTTGTGGCAAATTATCAAGCATTTGAAGTAAAAAAAGTTCGAATGTGGATTCCACCTTTCCAATCAAAATCTGCAAATGAATAAGGGGAACATAGGGCCACGGAGGCCATGCATTGTGATAGAGAAGCAAGATAGATTGAAAGCAATATGACTATAAAAATGAGCTAGCAAAGCACACGCATACCAGATCGTAATCTTAGTGGTTAAAAATGATGAGAACAGAAGGTCATAAAGAGACTCTTACAATAGGCATTATATGTGATAGCCCGAATATTGGCAATGCTACGCAAGGTCACGCCATGCAGAAGCGTTTGCAGCGCGAATAATCCTTTACGTCTAGTGAACAAACAAAGCAATCTCTAAAACGCCTACGTAACTCGCTGTAGCTCGACACGCTCAAGATTGCTTTGTGTGTTTGTACTTAGAAATTAAAAGCCAATAAAAGCTCTTTCGACCTTATATTGGTTCGTGTGTGGACACGATTCGAGTCCGACGATCTAATCGATTTTTACACGTGTTGCGTCCAGATACACTCATATGGCAGATACGACTGATGGATGGGGATTTTTAGCTGATATTGAGGGGTTCGGTAGACCCGATGCAGAGGGAGATTTCGAGGAGGTTCCTTATAATGAAGCTTTGGGAAGGACATGGGGGAAGCAAGGCGGTAAACCGTATCGACATGCCGCCCATGCCTTCCTGTACGCTCTAGATGGCAAGAAAGTGTGGGGACTGTATGAGAATAAGGCAGTTATTTTGGTAGGACTCTGTTTAATCTCTCTCTCTCTCTCTCTCTCTCTCTCTCTCTCTCTCTCTCTCTCTCTGTGTGTGTGTGTGTATGTGTGTGTGTGTGTGTAAGAGATAAAGAAAGAAACGAAGGTTGATATGGATGTATTGCAACTCAGCCTGCCACTTGCCCAAAGACTTTTTTTATAGATCCCATACCCCCCTCCTAATGTAAGTAAATCGCGCATTATATAATATTATCCGTGGTTACTATATATCTTATCAGCATTGCATGTATGTCCAGTATATCCGCTTTTTATATATTCATTTTCAAGTTATGCCAACTTACCGTTTCAAATGTATTATAACACCAACATTACGTGCAAAGTATTTAACCTGCAATCAGCATTTATCTGTAATGTAAAATTAGATTCATTGTTTGTTAGGGAAAACCAGTTTTAAGCTTAGGTTATATATGCCACGGGAGCCATACGAAAATAATGGTATACGATATCTGTATTCATGACATCGAAAGTGGTTACGGGTGCAGCGATTATAGGCCTATGTTTACATTATGTGCGGGTGCCCTGTCACTTCTCCGACATGGTCTTAGGATTAGGTAGTATAGGGAAAATCGTCGGTTGAAATAAAGCATTTTTCATCGATATTATTTTTTATGTTGTAAAGATATTTTGATATATATATATATATATATATATATATATATATATATATATATATATATATATATAATTTAAAAGAGAATCATCCACCACCCCACCCCAACTCTACCCCAGGGACAGCCCCGCACACATCCCTTACACACACACACACACACACACACACACACACACACATTGATATTCATTCATTGTTGCAGATATCAAGGAAGGAGGTCCTTGAGGGTGAGCTTCTCTCTGTACAATGCGGGGAAGTGCGGGGTTATGCGATGACTTCCTATAGACAACATCTAGATATATTTTGTCAAAAGTTTTAGCTTGACAAAATCGTACAGGCTGTGGAAATCGTCAATCTGTGCGATTTTGCACGGCCACCGCCTGCCACTGCACAAACTGGGTTTTATTTTGATAGTATACGCGTGCACCGTGCGGACATTGCATGGCAAATGTAACCCAGGCTTAAAGCAGCGGTGACTACGTTTTGCAACATAGGAAACACTTTTTTTCATAAAAATGACACAGCACATTCATTCAAGGTACGCAGTGGGATGTAGCAAGAATGGTGTTTTGTTAGACAATTCATATTTATTTTTTAAGGGGTGATTAAAATCACCAAGGTATACCAAGGCATATTATATATTTAAACCGTTAAATGAAATGTTGGTCTATTAACATGTTTATTGTTTGTTTGTTTTATGTTAAGATGAACATGAGAGTAGACGGCTACATAGGATTTCCTGGCGGAATCATTGACGATGGAGAAACCCCTGAAGAAGGTCTGAACCGAGAACTCGAAGAAGAGATTGGTTTGGATTTAACCAAGCACAGTTTCTGTAAAGGCGATCACTTAGTATCACATGTTAACCACAGGAAAGGGATGGTGCTTCACTTCTATTGCAAGAGAGTCACATTGGAGGATTGTTTTGAAATAGAGAAAAGCACGCTTCATGCAAAGGAGTACGGTATTGAGGTAAACGTATTTTTTTATTTATAGTATGTCCATTTTACAAGACGGGTTTTGAACACACATTTATACGTCCTTGTCGTCTGTGGTCAAAACATGTCGTGTAAACAGCAATTTTTACGTAGGCACTCATACATGTAAATCATTTCGATATGCGGTCCCGGTGTGACAAGAATGCTAGTCCTAGGAAATGGAAATATGGGGTCCCATACGATTATTACAGGTGGTTAGTCAAGTAGGGGAGACCGGGGCTAGCTGGACCCCGGGGTAAGTCCCCCCCCCCCCCCCATCAATTTATGACAAAGTAACTATGGGGTAAAAGGATTGATCACATCATTTTGTAAAATGACCGTAGCCAGTAGTGCTAAGTGCTAGGGTCAAACTAGCCCCGGTCTACCCTATAGGGGTCAGTATGGGAGATGAAAGTCACCTGTACAACGTAGTGGAGAACGGATAAAGTTTCCTAGCGGACTACCATTCTTGTCACTATATCTTGTTTCAATATTATATGCCCAAAGATTGCATGTCTTTTTAATATTCTATTTCAAAGGTACTGGGTTCTGTGCGCGTGCCAATGTTCACGTACCCGGATGAAGAAAGGGGGCTCCCGATATTTCTTACCAACCGGTTTTGTGGCAATTCCAAGGAACAGCTACTGATGGGCATTGAAAGAATGAAGATAATGACAACAGAGGAAATTCAATTGGCGTTAAAACACAGTGAGAGTTACAATAAAAAGTTCAAATTGTGAATAAAATGACCGTTAGGTGTCGTTGAATTTCTCAGAGGTTCGATAAAATGGAATTGGAGGTATTAGCGCATCGGGAAACTCAAAGAAATGGTATATGCTGGACATATCAGTTATATCTTATTTTAGCTGAACAGATATACATGTAAAAAAACGTGTGTATCGGTAATCTTCCAAAAATAATTGACATCACGTGTATAGATCACAGAATGACAGATTATTGATATATTAATAAGTTCAAAGAAATGTGCTTGCCTGGATATCAGAAGACCGCTTGCTGGAACTCGAGTTGGATCACCCAAGAGATTTTTCACTGGATATTTGCAGATACAGTATATCTCTGACTATTCTCAAAAGGACCTCTCACGCAAGGTCAAATTGATAAATTACTTTTAAGAATATAAAGAAGAACCATTTTAAATGGCAATCCATCTTTCGGTCTTTTAGATCTTTAACAAGGTCAAGAATTCGAGATGAATTTAAATCAAACATATAACGATTTTTAATACAAGGAAGAGCGAGAGAATGAAGAGCATTTGGCTCTACCCACCAGGAGAGTAACAGAGGACAAAAAGCGTAGCCATACTCACATCCTGCCTATTGTACTCGTACCAATAAGCTACTAGGCTGTTTACAGGTCATCACCTCCCCTTTTTTGTCTTCCGTTCTTTGTTAAGCTTCGATTTGACTCCCATCGTTGACACACATTCATTGTCTCGTTTTCTGCTGGGTACATAGGTTCTGGGACCGTACTCTCGAATGTATAGCATGTGTCAAGAAATAAGAAACCGATTATCAGTTTTTTTAGTAAACCAAGGAGATGCATGTATCTCCTTGAGCAGGTAAACCATGGCAGGGGCGGATTTAGGCCGTCTTCTGGGTCTTCCAGAAGACGGTCAGATTTTCAAGTTTACATAGATAGGTATGTAGTTTTTTCTGTTGGGAGACGGTCAAAATTGGACGATTGATCAAAAAAGATAATTTGGAAGACTGTCAGAAAATAGCTCTGGATCCGCCCCTGCATGGCCGACCCCAACCTGCAGGAAAACAAACCAAATTTGCAGGCCGTTCGAAAACAAAAGATCTACCGTATCTGTCAAATTTTTAGGACGCAGACCGAGACTTTGACGAATTTGTCCAAGAATGAGATGACTTGTGTAGCAAAATGTGAGACTTACTTTCATACCTGACACTTAATAATCTAAAGAAAGTATCCGTCTTCCCGAATTAGTTATTAATTAAACAAGCATGTAAACAGATTGTTTTGCCACGAAGTTCACCGCGTTCTTAGTCTCATGCAATTCAGAGCATGTATCTTGGCAAATACACCGTCCTTGTAATGCAGCGCTAAACCAAACGAGTTTAGTGGGTCCTTCATCAGTCATTCTCTGCATCACAGCTAAGTATAAAGACACCAATTCTGTACAAAATTTAATTCTCACAGTACGTACACGTATACAGAAATGTGCACAGAAAAGAAAGAGTAATATCTGTAAACAGCTTGGGAAAAATAAAAATGTAGCCCTAGTAGATGGTAAGTCGCTGAAAAAACTTTTTTTTATCTTAAAAGGTCTTCTATTGTTACTCGTTACATGTGCGTACTGTGTGCACACCACATTATAGTACTCTAATGGATCAGGGAATTGTATCGTAGTAATAATTCCCTGACTACGTTATAATTCCCTGGCTGGATCAAAGGTGTCATCGTGACTATTCTGAAGTAGGTATTACGGTAAACTATTTCACACAAATTAAGAACACAAACAGGACAAAAACACAAGTTGTCATTTTTTAAACTTTATTCAAGTGAAACAGCGATTTTAATCCTAAAACAATACCAGCAATAACAAGCGATTGTTGGAGTACGGTATATTTTACAAATTAGATAACCAAAGACTGCAATATGGATCCTTATACGTTTGAAATTATACATTTTTTACACATGAAATATCACTTGTCATTATATTTGTGATATAATTGTCTAAAACCGGTTTATCAATTTAGTGTACAATCTGTCACTCTCATCCTTTCTGCATTTCACAAGCAGTCCTCTAGCTAGCATTTTCAAAGTGGGATGGGGGGGGGGTGTCTTTTTTCTGAAAAAAAAAGGACCTTTTAACCGCCTTAGTTGACCCCAAATTAAATTTCGATTCACAATGGACCTTTTACGACCAAAAGGGTTGTTCCTTAAGACCCTCTGCCTACAAGGCCGATATGGGTTAATCAGTCCAAAAAACATGTAATACCCTTTGCCAAGGCCGGATATCAATTTTTCACTGGATATTCTGCTGATTAATTATGTGCTCTTAATTTTTTTAGTACAACATATCCATATTTATATGACAGTGATGGCTATAATGCTAATGACAGACCAAAACAATATTCTTGCACTAAATGCTCCTGCTTCACAAAACTTTTTGCTCATAACTTAATTACTTACCACATACACAACTACACACATATGAAATTAATCCTTCATGGAAATATGAATTACAAGAAAATAACAGAAAAAAGATGACTTATAATTCTTTAGAGGGAGATTTAGTGGGCCTACTGGCCTCCAATACAATATAACTGCACTTTCGACAAGACATATATATCATAAAGACAAATGTGTATTCTGATTTCAGATATAGCCTTTGAAATCCCGTCAGCTTGTCACAGGCAGTCTCTTTTTTATTGTGTAGACATCCCTGGGGCCCCATTTCACAAAAGAACTCAAGCATGAAAATTGGTCTAAACTTTTTAAGACCCAAATTTTACTCAGTTTTGAATTATAATGTCCATTTTATATCAAGGGAGACTTAAGTCATTTTTCAGACTTATTCTTATTTAAGCAGACTGCTATTATGGATTTATCTTGAACTAAAGTCAAGTAAGTTTTCATCTTGTGTTACAGACCAAATTTCAAGCTATATCTCTTATTATAAAACATCTCATATCTGTTCTGTCAATACTGAGAGCTTGATGATGGAATCCAGTGTTGGATTGTAGTAGATGTTCTCTTCACCAATCTCCTCTGAAGCTGAAAAAAAAAAAATTTATGTAAAACCCATGGACTACAATGCTATGAAAAATAACACAAACTAATGCACTGTATTGGTACACAACTGCAGATCTATTAAACCAGCATCCATGGGCATATGCTGAATTTTGTTAAGGGGGAGGGTGGCAGGAAAAGAAATATAAAGTGGTTCACAATAACAATTTATATATTATACTATAATATACTGGTATAGGGCACAGGTAAGAAAAATTGTTAGAGTTTTGTTTCATTTTGCTCATTATACTGTTTCATTGCTTATCTTTTGTTTTTCTTAAGGGTAAGGGGTGGGGAGTGGGGGGGGGGGGGGGGGGGGTAGAGAGCAGGGGTAGAAAGTAGTGCCCAAGTGTCTCCCTGAATCTGCCATTTCATTGTGCCAGAGGAGCTTGGTTCAGCCCACTTTGTCTAAAACACAATCGAACTGCTGCTGAAATACATATAAGGCTAATGTGTTAGAGAAGATTAGGGAGCACAATTCTGACAATCTGTACAATTGAGCCCAATACAACCTCCACATTTCATACTTTATGTAGCTTTATTGTATTTTATGTCTCATCACTTGAAACACTTTCATAGATTCACAGCATTGTTTTTTTTAAATAATCCATTATTCAAAATATCAAAGGCAACTTTGTTACCTAACTAGTATAACAATTTTACACTAGCTCAGTTTTTCAATAATATATTCATTATCTTTTTTTTCAAATATTCTCAAATTCTTTTTGAATTAGTAGCCACTTCAACATGATCACCATAACCTTATACAATCTGATGTCTCAAAAGTTCTGCCCGCCTTCCATTACCTCTAAATTAAGAGTATTAAGTGAAACATTTCACTTCAAGAGGTTATTTCCGAATTGGGTACTAACCTGTTGAGATGATCTCTGGTTTGGAGAAGGCAGATGGTTTCTTCTTCTTTTTCAGGATGATTTTCTTCATACAGCCTGCTGTCTCCAGTATCTAAAAATTCAAACAGTTATTAGAAGCCAAATTCTTATCAAACACTGGCATGTTCTGAGACAAATCATTACCATGAAACCATGTATAAGAACATGAGTAACTACTTTTCTTAATTGGCTGTTAAAAAAATCATTTGAAAGATCTGAAAAGATACATATTATTATAAATATAAAATGAATTGACAATAATAAAAGAACATTAAAAATGTAGAAAACTTCCAGAAATGAAACATCTTTATTAATTTCACTGCTGAGGAAATTCATTAAAACATGAATGAGAATATGTACTTAATCAACGACAAATGGTTTTGCAAAAATTTACGTTAATAAAAGTATAATATCTTTCTCTTGGCTGTGGCAAACCAATGATGAACCCTTATGATGATAACAAATATGATTCTTAATCAAATAATAACACAATATGTACCCTGTGAATCATACCTCTAATAACTCCAATGCCACTACCGGTTGCAGTATGGGATTGAAGTGCTTGTATATGTCCTCCCTGATACTTCCAGGGTGCGAGAGAATGTACAACATTATTCCCTCTATTATCCTCTTAAACATGGTCCTATTAAGTCCACCTTCTGGTTTCTTCCATGGACGAGACATTAAGTGGACTGGATCAAACATCAACCTGACATAGATAAATACATATAATTTCTAAATATTCATTGAATCAAAATAAACTAACTGTATGTGTAGGTCTGTATATCATTATAAAAATGCTTTTTAGCCTTTAAAAGAGTGTGATATATCAATTTTGATGATATAAAAAGCAGAACTGCCTGCCTGCACTCAATCATCTTTGTATTTAGAAAAAAAGGGAAAAAAATATGCAGCCAGAGATTCTATAAAAAAATCTTGAATATCAAATTTTACAATCTCCAAATGTGCAAAGAAATGTGACAATTAAAACAGCAACAGCTCAGCAATTGGGATTACCAATATACACCATGACAGACGTACATTCTTGCAAATCTGGTAAGGGTAAGGTTACATTTCGCCTTAAATGATTGGTTACTGGTACTGTACTCTTTAACAGTAGGCTAAAGACAGGCTGTTGGCAAAATCTTTTGTGTGTGTGTGTGTGTGTGTGTGTGTGTGTGTGTGTCAGGAGCGGATTAAGGGCGTCTTCTGGGTCTTCCGGAAGACGGTCAGATTTTCAAGTTTACATTGACGGGTATCTATTTTTTTTTTCTGTCGGAAGACGGTCAAAAATGCAGGATGAATCAACAAAGATAATTTGGAAGACTGTCAGAAAATAACTCTGGATCCGCCCCTGTGTGTGGGTGGGTGTGGAGG